TTAAAATAAATAAAATATTTATAAATAAAGTCCAAAATTAGTTTGAACCGTTGCGTAATAAATTGAACTATGCCGACAATCTACGAAATTATTGTTGTATTCACTTTTTCAAGACAGTGCCATCTAACGTAAAATACAAAGTATTGACGTTTTGCATCTAGTTACGAATAAATTAAATAATATAAATAACTTACATTTATATAGTAAAGTAAAGTTACAGCCTATATACGTCCCACTGCTAGGCACAGGCCTCCCTTCATTTCTGAGAGGGTTTATATAGTAATTTAATTAAATTCATAATTGATTTGAATATTCTAATGTATATTTTTTAGTTATTGTTATTTTATTTTAGTAGATTAAATACATTTTGTAGTACTTATTACTACTTGAATAGATAGTAGTCATCTATCGAAAATCATAAAATGGATGTTTCTGAGTCCTCAGGGATGATAACGCATCTGCATTGTGGTTCTTAATTATGCATAACAATTCTATATTTCATTTCAAGGTTCATATGAAATGAATTCATATTGTATTATCTCGGCTGTGAAGAAAAAGGTCGCAAGGAAACCTGCAGAATATCTGAGAAGTAAAAAAAAAATATTTTGGAAATCATATAACTAGGTATAGGTATGTGAAGTCGGTCATCCCGCGTTGGAGTCAACGACTCCTTTTTGACTTAAACTCGCTGTGGTGTGGTGTGGTGACCGGCTATTTGCAGTAATATTCACGCTTGGCAAGCGGGTTAGCAACCGCAGCTCTTTATTACTTTGAGCTGTTATCAAGAAGATGCTACCTATCTTCTGTTTCAGTTTCCCTCTGTCGCCTCTTAGAACACCCACGGGAAGAAATGGGGTAGTGATTTCTTTTACGTCGCCTCTACATGGCTAATATATTATTTCTACTCCCGTTAATCAATTGGATTCCTCCACCAACTGCCAAATAAATTGGATATTTGCCATAGTTGCCACGTTTGGCACGCAATTGCCAACTGTATATTTTTATTATTTTGAACTATGATGAGGAGGACGCTGCTGCCCATCTTATGTAGATTTCTACTCCTGTTCATGAATTTAGTTCTTCTTACGCGTTCACTGTGAATAAAACTACATTTATGAAATTTTGAAGTCTACTCGAACGTAAAAAAAGTATTGGCATGTGGTGCTAATGCGGACCAATATTAATAAAGACCATTAAATTAAACCTTATTTTATCAAAACTATATCAACTTTAATAATGCATATTGCACATGTATTAGAAATAACACATTTCCGATTCTAGGACAATTTGCCCTTCATAAAGACGCATCGGAAGACGTTCCCGATATAAAAAAGGTGTTGCTTGATGTGATATTTATGCGATTGTGACAAAGTAACTTATGTGTTTTTTTAGCCAATAATATTGCCAATATAGACACAGATACCGAAGTGTCTACAAGTGATCCAGTTTTGTTATTAGGACGAAATAGTTTTATCGATGTTTCTGAATTAAAGCCCACGCGAGCGAAACCGCTGGTAAAAAGCTAGTTTTTTAATATTTTTGTCGATGTTAACAATGACGGATGAACATAATTTGTTTAAAAGTAAGTAGTGCAGAAAATTTGCTGTCGTTAAATAATGTCACTACGGTGTCCTCAGACACGAGTCCCACTTGCACTCGAGCCGCTTAATTTGTCATTGTTCCGTTGCTACCGTCTTTGTTTCAGCGGTGTTAGGTGTTTGTATGTGTCGTCTTAAGTTTATTTCGCAACTAGGCTGGTTTATTTTTTAAACGGGTTTAAAATTACTTAATTTTGTTCTTCTTGTATAAATTATATATGTAGAAAAGGATTGACGTTGGTTTTCAATTAAAAAAATATTTTGTCTCAAATATTTATATTAAATATAATACCACCCTAATTTGTATTAATTAGCTTATTAATGTTCAAAAACTGAAAGTAGCCGGGCTAACTATGACATCACGACCTCTAACACCTCAGTCGGGGGGCCGCATGAAACGTCGGGAATTAAAAAGTTAAAATAAAACGCGATCAAATTCGTAAAATTAGTTTCATTTTATGTGTAGTGTTCACGTAAATATAAGAAATCATAATGCGCTTGCCTTTTACATATTACGTAATATCTATATTATTTTAAAAAGCAGTTAACTTAGGATGGTCATTATAATTTTGCAATAAATTATTGATGACTATATTATTTAGTTTTTATTTTACGATATTATAATAGATATATGTATTTCTTAAGACTCATTTTTTGAACCAGTTTAAGCATTATGTATTCCTAGAAATTACCGAGGCTTGTGAATTTGTTGACCACAATATTTTATTGTGAATAATTGAGACATATGGTATAAGAGGACACGAACTAAAGCTTGCTTACATATCTATTAGATTGAAAATAACACGTATAAATAAATTTTTTAAATAATAAGTCAGGAAAGATTTATTTATCTGGAAATAGGCTTATTCATATGATCTACCACAAGGCAATGTTCTCGGCCCCTTATTATTTTTAATATTTAATAATAATTTTACTAATGCAATAAAAATCATAACTGATTTTACTAATGCCATAAAAATATAGCTGATGGTTCAACTTTTATATAACGAAATTGACATTAACATGAGTTTAACAAATAATAATTTTTTTATAGGATGAGGTTGACAAACGAGCACGCATTCCACCTGATGGTTGTTGTAACCCATAGAAATCTACATCTATCTTCGATTACAAATCAAAGGAGGTTAGTAATAAGAAGGAATGTCTTGTTACCAGTGAAAGGTCTCCGGTTCTCTACATTCACCATACGAAACCTACGAAACTAGCTACAAAATAACAAAACTAAACAACCTTACAAACAATAGATCATAAAAATTCGATTTTATTTCATTTGATTAATTATTATATTGCATGATTTCGTAGTGATATTATGTATAATATATTTAATGATTTCTTATATTTACGCGAACACTACACATTTAAATAATACTAGTTTTTACGGATTTTATCTCGTAATCCGTAAATAAAATCCGTAAAAACTGGTATTATTTAAATATAATAATATTTTATATACAACCGTGTATTTAAAGAGTCGCAATATCGTTGTACGTGAAATTTATTCTATCTTTTACTTTTTTATTTAAAGTTATTATCCATATTTAAGTAATACGACTTCTTAGTCAAGTAAAACAAACGACTACCCAAATGGTATGTTGCAATCTACACTTATAAACAATATTTTGTTTACAATATTGAAAAGAAACTAATAGTACAAGCAAACTACTATTAAATGGAGTGACGACCTTGTAAGAGATGAAGGAAGTCGATGAACGCTGGTGGCAGAGGATGGTACTTTGTGGCACTGAAAAAATGTCACAAATACGGTCTACTTAGCAGTGAACTTGTTATCAAATGTAATGGTGATAATAATGACTAATACACAGACCGTCATTTACTAATCGATAAAAGATTTAAGATTGAACAAGGATCAATTTGTATGATAAAAGGAGGCTTGATGCGGGTGCGATCTGTTCTCTATGTATGCAACATTACTAACCTTTTCTTTGGTGATTTCTTTAAATTCAGTTAAGATTATATGTCGGATTTAATTACCCTTAGTCATCTAGTGGCCGAAATTCGACCGTAATTCATATATTTTTAAAGTTTCTATATTAGGCATAAAATTTTTGTTTTTTAAAGACAATACGCCTACGTATATCAAAGATGAGTTGGACTCTGTATATGGGGACTATGCATCATCATTTACAACAGTTGAAATTTTGAGCAGCTGAATTTAAACGTGGCCGTGAGAGCTTGGGACTTGAACGTTCGGGACGTCCAAAAACTGCAACTACTAACGATAACGTCGCTAAAGTTCCCCAAATGGTGCTAGACAACCGTCGAATTAAAGTGAGAAAGGTAGCAGAGGTTATAAAATTCACGTACTTAATCAAGATTTAGGCATAAGAAAGCTGTCAGCGCGTTAGGTGCCGCGTCTTTTTTATAGCATTGGGTGACAAACGAGCACAGTCCACCTGATGGTAAGTAGATGCTGTGGTCCATAGACATCCACATTTAGCCTCAATTAAGAAATCAAAATGAAAATGCGTTGTCACCCTTCTGAGGACTAAGATGAAATGCCTCGATTCCAGTAAAACGGGTCTCCGGTTCTCTACACTCACCATATGAAACATAGCAAGCATTACGCTGCTGTTTTACGCTAGTAGTAAGCTAGTTTATTAAAATATAGATGCAGCTTGGCTCTACCACGTAAAAAACTGCTCACGTTAGTTAGTTAAAATATAATATATATATTTTTAAAGAAGTCACTAAAATATAAACTACAAGGAATAATTAGCAAAAATCAACTTTAATTAAACTTTCGACATTAAACTCTAAGAAAATCACAACATTTTTTTGTAATTTTAACATAATCAGTCTCATAATTTACTTTTTTTTCAAATCACGATTGGCCATCTCTCCCGTAGGGCCCGGTAGAGATGGCCGTAGAAGCAAGGGAGAGATGGCCAGTTTGTTAATCTACATTTTAATCACTTTTCCCCTTTAAGTTTTTGAGCCTTAGCTCATTCTTATTTTTCAGTCCACATGATGAACACTTATCATCGAATTCGGTGCAATTTTCTTGTACCCACAGTTGGCATATAACGCATTAAATCCGATCTTCGATGAGTTGCGTTTCGTAATAATTTTCTCCACAACCTACACAGTTATCCAATTCTCTGTTTCCATCTTCTTCATCAGACGAATTACATAATATTAGTTCTTCATCCTCATCACTACTTTCAGATAACTTTCTTAATGATTTTCTCTTTCTTGGTGCTCGTTTTATTGGTTTTATCTCAATTTTTCTTTCCTTTTTAACGTCTTTTTCGAATTTTTTTCTGTTCCCTATTTTTTTTAAGCGCTTCCTTAAATTTTCTTGTTTTGATGTGATTCATTGAGGTTAAAAGCATGCCTACCTGTTTAGCACGTTTGCGTACTTCAATAATTTTTTGTGGAACTGGCGATATTTTCTTTAAAGTACGTGCTGGAGTCAGATCTGGCAAATCGCTTCTTGGAGGGAATTGTTCTGACATTTTTTTTAATTACTGCTGCTGAATCAGTAGCAAATAATTTTTTAGGCCTTCTTGTAATCATCTCAGGACTTGCGTTTAAAACTATTTGCTCAACAGAGCTATTTGGCTCAGCGATTGCAGGTGATACGTCTGGTCGTATTTCGAAAGTATTTGGAACTGGTTCCAAATTAGCAGAAGCTATGTTACTAGTATTTTCTTCTTGCTCCTCGACCATAACAGTGGCTGTACACTCATTTTGAGGTTTAGACATTTGCTTTGTCAATTCTTGGGTAAACGCGTAGTCGGGAATTGCAGATGGATTGAAGGGGTGGACACCTGTAGCTTTAAAACCCGCAAATGCATTCTCTGCAGCAGCTGCCTTTCCCCACGCCTTATTAAGCAATCTTCCAAATGATAATCGTGTTATACGACGACCAGGATTTTGTTTTAGCCAAAGTCGACACTGCTTGTAAAAATGAGTCTTCAGTGATTTAAACACCGTACGATCTAGTGGTTGGAGGTAGTGAGACGTGTGGCTTGGCATTGATAGTAAGGTGATGTCATTGTCCTTTGCATATTTCAGCATTTTCACAGAATTACAGTGAGTTGAATGACCATCTAGTAAAAGAAGTACTCTTCCAGCTGGTTTTCTCGGAACAAAATGTGTTTTCAACCATTCAATAAATAAATCTGAGGTAATGTACGCTGATTTTGGGGACATGAAAAGTTTCGATCCCGGTGGCATCCCATCCTCAAACTCAGGTTTTTTGTTTTTGCCTTTCATGATACAGGCAGGTGGTAAAAATGTACCTTCAGCATTGCAGCAGGCTATAACTGTAATCGTTTCTCCCTTTTCAGTCGAAGTAACTGTAGATATAGCCTTAGAACCCTTTTCAACTAGAACATGCCCTGGTCGACTATTAAGCTGAAGACCAGTCTCGTCCATGTTGAAGATACAACTTGGTTTCAACACACCATCGTCTACTGTCAATATGCTTTCAAGAAGCTCAAAGTAAGCGTCAACCTCCAGTTTATTCATAGCAGTTGATCTAGCTAAAGATACTCCTTCTGACTTTCTTTACATTGTTTTTTACGAAGAAACCACGATATTACATTAGTAATATCGTGGTTTCTTCGTAAAAAACCTTGCAAATCAGTCATACCCTGCTTTCTCAGTTTCTCTATTAAATCTGTGATTCAAATTCAATTGCTCCGCGAATTGGTACGCAATCTTTCTGACGTTATCAATAGTCAATGGGAAACCATTTTTTTTTTGCATAGTTTTAATATGGTTAGCGAGTTTCTTCTCATTTTTTTCGCCGAATATAGAGGATGGTCCCATTGGTCCTTTTTGTCATTATTTTTCTTGTATCGTCTTTCGAGGGTCTTCCTTGGTACTTGATAGGTTACTGAAGCTGCGTAGCTATCTACGTGCGTACTACCATTTCACCTTTTTTAACAGCGTCCATGGCCGCCTTAAGTGACTCTTCACTCCAGTTCTCTCGTGAGCTGTATGCTTTTCTTTGGTATTTATTTGGCATCTAAAAATAAAATACCGTGATATGAAATACTAAAACCAAATAAGTATAATAGCACCATAAATAAAGAAAAATATATCAAGTTATAATAATATAACTTCCACCATTACGCATTACATATATGGAAGGTGTGAGCCTTATGGTCATCTCATACCGATTATGTATGGCCATCTCTCCGAATCAGCCGGGATAGATGGCCACACATTATTTGTAGAAAAATATAAACAACGCACGCGCCATTTTTGAGGTTATGTTAAAGTGTGGGTCATTAACTGAGCACTTAACTTAAAAAAAAGTACTTACTTTTTATAATGTCTTTTCACCACACTGTATAACGTAAACCCTTTGAAAACTTTAGGCTATATACAAATAAATGTAGGTACATTTTACTTATTTTTTCGATTTTTTTTTCACCGGAGATGGAGCGAAATGTCGTTCCCACGCACAGCACAAATTGAACTAACGAGAAAGTAATGCCATCTAGTAAGTGCAGGGTTGCTAATGCCAATGTGTGTAATTCCCCAAAATTCCATATGAAATTCCCCAAATTTGGGGACAAAAATCTGCTGATTCCCCACAAATTCCCCTCAATATTATTTTAAACAATGAAACAAGTTTAACCTATTTAAATAATATTTATTTTTTAACCTTTGTTGCACTTTTTCCATACGTTTGATGCAAGCATTTTGTTGGAAGGATTAAACTTGGCACTGCCGCCCAATTTTTTTATATCCTCTCTTGTTGCCATTAAAGACACTACAGTACCTGTATTTAGCCGATTGCGATTTTCTGTTTTTAAACATCGAAGCGCACTAAATTTTCTTTCGACCGACGCGTTTGAAAATGGCAATATGAGCAACAAAGACATAACAATTTTTATGTTTGGAAACATGTATTCTCCCGCAGCATTTTTAAGGCGAAATACTTTACCCCAGTAACTTTCGGCATTGATGTTATCTCCATGAATTTCAAGCCCATGTTGCTCAAAATCTAACAAAGCGTGAGTTCGCCACTCGTCATCTAATTTTTGTGCGGTCACAAATTTATAAAGCACTGGAAATCGCTTCAGCACAGGCACAAGTGATTTAATTAGAAACTGTTGAGCTTCTGATGGATTTACAGCGGATATAATAGAAAATAGAGGATCCCCAAAATCAAATCGCTTGGTAATATCTGACGTCAATTCAATATAAAACTCCTGGCAGGTTCTATAGAAATCTGCAATAGCAGCGCGAGGTACATTTTCGTCATTTTTTAAAATTTCAATACTTTCTCCAGCCTTTAATCCAATATATATTTCGTTTAAACTTAGAAAATGTGTTGGGTTTTTGAAGTCTGCGTTTAAAATATTAGCACAGGACTTGATATAGCTAATTTTCATGAAATTAGAAGACAACGTTTTCAAAAGGTTTTCGACTTCTGGTTTCAATTTGTAAAGAAGGGAAGTTTCTGATTGAAACAAGACATTGAATTTTGTTACCAGTGCAAGTACGTAAGACATGAACTCCAAATATACCACAGTGAATTGGTTGTTCATTGTAATCAGCATTTCTTCGGTAGTCTTCGACGGATCTGAGAAGACTGTTTCTGTCAAGTAGGCTTTTAATGGAGTATACTGCTCTAAGACACGGTCTATACACGCTTTCAGCGAGAGCCATCGAGTTTGAGCTGGTGTGAGAATTTTATGAATCTCCACTTGAAAGAATTCTTGAAACTCTCTAAATTTTAGTTGTCTTTGTGAACTTCTACTGAAGTGAGCTCCAACAGAACGCAAAAAATCTTCAACGTTTCGAGGCAATTTAAGACAAGCTTTAGATGATGATAGGTGTATCATGTGACAAGAACATTTCACCAGAGCAATGTGAGGCAAATCTTTTTTAAAGAACAAAAACAGAGCAATGTTCTCCAACCATCACGTTTGTGGTATCTGAATTAAACCCCACCATGTTTTCTATCGATATGTTTTTATTTCGAAGCATTTGATGTAAACAGTCGTACAGTCCCTTAGCAGTTCCTGATGACAATTCCACCATATCCAGAAACAAATGCTCTACCTTATTGGTGTTCTCATCATAGACAACAGCAGTAAAACAGCATTGTTTTAAAGAGCTCTGATCAGTCGTTTCATCCATTATTAATGAAAAGAAGATTTTTTCTCCGCGTAATTTTTCATATATATCCTCTAAAAATGTGTTTCCTAAAACATTATTTATTATAGCCGTCGCCTTGGTTCTGTGTAAATTCATATTTTTAGCTATAACTGAGTCTGCGAAAATCTCTTTGCAGAGTGGGCCCAAGATGTCGCTAAATGATATTGGTATATTATTTTCAGCCAACGCTCCGGCTAATTTTAGTTCAGCTTTTCGTACATTTATTTCTAAATCCATCACTGGCAAATAATTTGAAATTTTTGGAATATTCTGTATTTCTAATGATTTTTTCTTATGGCGATCTGAATTCATATGTCGAATCAGATCACTTTTATGCGCTATAATCGACACCGAACAAAGCATACAGTGTGCTAAATCATTTCCATCTTTCATTTTCGAATCTTTGCATAGCCAGCTCAAGAAGTTTGGTTCTTGAAGCCATAAATCATTAAATTTATTCAGGCGTTTTATTTTTTTAGTTTGTGGATTATTTGACTCACTTGTTGCCAAGCCCACTGAAGTCAAACTGGAACTGGGAATGGGAACAGCATATTCTACTTCTATACTAGAAGTTGAAGCCTCTGATGTTTCCTTTTCGGGTTTCCTTTTACGTTCAAGCTAAAAACCAAAAATTAGGATAGTTATAATCACTGAGTTTCTGACAGACGGTAACCTGCTAATGTTTCATGATCGCGCACAAATAAATAAAAAGGCTATTAATTACCTTACCTTAGGATTATCTTCTTTGTTTTGGCCTTTCATTAACCATTTATCCATATTTGTACAAGATAGTATCGTTACGGCTCGACAAAATACGTATTATAATATTATAATGTTAAGAAATTCACTATTTCACAAAACGTCAAAAGAAAGGGAATCCCCTAATCATAGTGTCGGTATACTTTCCGATATTTCTAGCTTTCATTCAATTTGGTTTATTGCAACCATAGATCAGAAAAAAATATTAAGATTTTTGGCTTGGATGCTTGTCTTTTAAGCGATGTTTTCTTCTCATTCATACTCAAAAAGATAAGTGCAATAAAGAGTATTGAGTCCTCCGTTATCCATAAGTACCTAAATTAAAAAAAATATTAAAGTATTTGGTATTTTCGAAAAAGTATATTAACGAAGATGTTAAAATCCCCGCATTTTCCCCGCATAATGCCAATCCCCAATAAATCCCCAATCAACTTGAGATTCCCCGCAGTTTGGGGAATTCCCCACAAATCGGCAACCTTGAGTAAGTGTAACTATGATTTTTTTTTAGTGGCCATCTCTTCCTTACGGCCAACTCCCCCGGACTTACCCTAGCAATAAATCGGTCTGAGTATTGAGTAAGCAACCGAATTAATGTCTGTGAAATTAAATTTGTACTTACTTATGTATAAAAAAAATATTATTAAAATTATAGCAATCCTATAATGGTTTGAAATTAATTATTTTTATTTTTTATTTATATAAAATACCATCGGGCACATTATTGTCAAGTACCCGGAAGACCGAGCTTCGCTCGGTTTTTTTTAAGTTACATTTATATACAAATTACATGAATAATAGTTTTTGATCTTATTGACATAATAGAAAAAAACTGAACTGGTTATTTGAATAAAAAATCATGAGTGCAATTAGTTTAATTCAAATTTACGTATTTTTTAAAAAATACTAAAAAAAAGGGCTCGAAATAATAGATTTTCTCACAAAAGAAGGGAACTTGAAAAAAAAAGAAAAAGGTCGGACGCAAGACGCGACGCGAACCACTGAACTCCGATATCACGCCCGAACAACATCCCATCTGAGCTATTACGATCGTTGGTAAACTGTCAAAATTTACCTTCTTATATTGTAGCAGTTTTTTTATTTCCTAAGTATAAATCCTAGCTTTCGATTTATTACCCCCGAAACTCCCTGGACACTAAATTTTATGAAAATCGTTGGAGCCGTTTCCGAGATTCCGATTATATATATATATACAAAAAAAAATATATATAGAATTGCTCGTTTAAAGGTATTATATTACAAAAATGTCTGGCAATAATAAATTCAAGTCTTTAATAGCGTTTAAAAGTCAGTAATAAAGAAAAAAATTATCTTAATTTTTTTTAAATAACTATATGGCCCTTGGTATTGTGATAATGTCACAATAATTCTGCCAATGTCCAGTCTTCAGTCTGTCACACCTTGTCTTGAGGAAGTACGTGTTAACCATTCGACAGTTCGCCATTTTTTCAACAATATGCTGATGCGTCACATTGCGAAGCACTTGGGAGATTTTGACGACAGCTCAACCTAGCGGACAGTTGATGACGACAGCCACTCAATTTCATGAGGCGCCCAAGCGATCAAAATAACTTGAGGTTTATATCGACATCAAAGCACTTGTTTCGTCGTTTTCTCTAATAGTTCACATGCGCGGATACTTAATTCACAAAATCGCATCACTTTTACGAATCAAAATCCACTTCAAACCATTATTCAAGCGACAAAACAGGAGCAACAATCCGTCTACGGCCAAGTTCCCGCCAAAACCCCCCTATCTTAAAATTATTTATAGTCAACCAAATCTAAGAAATACCTTTTGACGTTTAACATTAATCATTACGCTATAACTTAGCACAAGCGTACTCACACAATTTAAAATAACCTTTTACGCAAATCTGAAGAATTATGAAGTTATCTTTATTTCATTACAACGTGTATAGTTTTTTATCACTAATTTAAATTGGAATCTTTTAAACAAAACAAAAAATAAAAAAATAAATTGAAATTACTTGACGTCGTTTCATATGTCATATGTCATATGTTACTTGATATGTCGCTCAGAAACTTACCGTAGTGTTTGGATGATTAAAATTCATTGTTGTGCGAAAAATCGTCATAAATATTCAAATAATCGAATCTTTATTTTTTAATGTATTATTTGTTTAATTAATTTATTATTTTTAAAATTCCTTAAATTTCATGAATCATGAATAAAACAAGTTTATTTTTTTATTTTGTCAACGTAAACTTATGTAGAAAAAAAACTCATATACAAGGCTGCGCTGAAAAAACCACTACGTAATTTCACTCTCCCGCATTCGACTATCTATGATTTTGTGTTTGTCTTCTTATTTTGTGACTCGGCTTTAACTTTTTGGACTGTTTCTTCTATATTCGTAGAAGCATGTGTCCATGTCACAAAGGCTGATTGAGTAAAAGATATAGAAAAAACAAAAAAATTGATTATGGGTGACTTAGAAAGAGACATTAATTTTAACTGCATTGTTGAAAATCAAATAATAATTAATCTATACAACGACAACTCAAGTAGTTGTACTGAAAGTGGTTGAATAAATTTATTTTTAACCTAGTTTCAATTTTAAATTTTTATAAATTTGGCTGTAGAAATAAGCAGTAACAATAAATATGAAGAAACCGATAAATCTTGTGTTTTAAATTATCCGTTTCTAATTTATTCTGGTATTATTCAAACCAAACTGTAAATGATTACCAACTACTAAATAATCGATATCGACTTTTTTAAGAATCGAATATTGTACGTTCTCATTTTTTGGAGAAAGGGGTATGAAAGTGAACGCAAGTAAGACGAAGGTTATGGTTTTTGAAAGAGAAGAAAGTAAAACGATTTGTGAAATAAGAATAGAAGGGGAGTTGATGGAGCAAGTAGATGAGTTTGTATATTTGGGCTGCGTATTTAGCAGGGATGGGAGATATGATAAGGATAGAGAACGACGAGTAGAATGCGGGAAATAGAGTAAATGGGGCCCTGCACTCTATTGTGAAGAGTCAAAATATGTCAAAAAAGTCCCTTTAACGTATGGTGGTGAAAGTTGGGTGTGGCAGAAGAAGCACGAGAGTAGAATCAACGCAGTAGAAATGCGGTCGTTAATGAGTATGTTAGGGCTGAATCTGAACGACAGGGTAAGAAATTGTGTAATAAGAGAAGAGTGTGGTTTCCAAGATGATGTTGTGACCAGGATTAAGAAAGGAATGCTTCGGTGGTTTGGTCATGTGGAAAGAATGAATGATGAAAGAGTGACAAAGAAAATTTATGTTGCAGAAGTGAATGGCAGAGTCGTAAAGGGACGTCCCAGGCGAAAATTTATCGACGAATTTGGCTATTTATTGAAAACGGGCCAAATTAGGAGTACCCTTAACCGACGGGCGTGTATGCGTAGGTGTATGGATGTGAAGGAGGCGAGAGAGGTGTGTCAGGATCGTGCCAAATGGAAGTCTTTATTCTCTGCCTACCCCTCTGGGTGATAGGCGTGAGTGTTTATGTAATTTATCATTTCAATTTCATTTTTTGGTTGGTATGCTTGGTGCAATAAGTCTTGATATAGGATCAGGCGTTACTTTGCGTAAATCCATTATAATAAAGATATTAATTAATTTGCAACCCTCCGCTAACTAAATACAATGATGTGTCTTACCTGGATTGAAGAGCACCTCCCGCCCTCCTTCAACTTAGCGGTCATCCGCCGTAGAGTCTACATCACCTAAAGATACCTCGTGTAGAGGCGAAATACGTGTCGTATTATCGTCGATGGTGTGTCTTTCCTGGAATGTTCGTGTTGGGAGTAGTGGTGCTGGGAATAGTGGTGTTGGGAGTAGTGGTGCTGGGATTAGTGGAGTGATGGTGGGATTGGTGCACGCAATTGAGGTAGGGCGGGAGGTGCTCTTCAATCCAGGTAAGACACATCATTGTATTTAGTTATCGGAAGGTTGCAAATTAATTAATATCTTTATTGCAATAAGTCTGACCAGCTGTCAAAATGTATATCTTAGATTTGGTTGACTATGAAAATCAATACTTTTACCTATAAAAGTATGATGTGCATTAATGAACGCAACGTTTAACGGCAGCCAGGTAGCAAGCACGCTGTTCGGAAAAACATAGAGACAGATTATATTGACAAACCAGCTTTTCTAAAACTTTCTCTCGAAAACGTTGCTAGTTCTTAGAACATAAAAAGTACAATTAAAATTAAATTTTAAAATTAAGTAGCGGTAAGTTAGTTATATTTTATGGAAAGTAGTTTGGCCGCTTTTATATCTAATCACAAATTTGTTTAGTTGTTCTTCATGTATCAGAATAGCTTTGCTTAATAATTGCTTGACAATAATTGCTTGAAGCTTGACTTGACTTGACATGTTAAATCTTGGCGAATTAATGGCAAAAGATTACGATATTTGTGTGCATTTCATTTCCACAACATACTCCTGAAGATGGATTACATCTTCAAAAGAAATTGTCACTCTTATTACTGGTGCGACATGGATTCTAACATTTATAATGATGAATTTATCATTAATGATGATGTAAGTTGAACTTCATTCTCAATTTGAGGTCGGCACCTTTGTATGCCGCCATCAAAGTTTCGATCTGATATTCGTCATAAAAGTTGTGGAGACAGATGCAGAAACGGATGTCAAAAAGCGTGCAAAACCTTCGCAGTTGCGTATGCAGAATCAGAGGTCTGTTGCATCACTAATATTTACACCAACCAGATACAAACAGTACAACTAAACAGATTTTTCTTCAATTTTATACAAATAAAGTACGAAGAACACTTTCTCCCACCTATTATAACATGAAGCAAAAGACTTTGGTACCCTGGTTCCGCTCAATCTTCAATACGAGTTGTATTGATGTTGCGTAAGTCCCGCCACATGAATTTGGTGATCTGTTTGTTCAGTTGCCTGTATGCTGTCAAATCTGCTGAAGACTGCAGCTTCATTTCCCGTCTAACAGCTATGATATTAAGAGTGTGATC